CCCACCCACCCATCCATCCATTCACATCCATCCATCCATCCACCTACCCATCCATCCGCTTACCAATCCATCTACCCACCCACCCATCCATCCATCCACCTACCCATCCATCCACTTACTAATCCATCTACCCACCCACCCATCCATTCAACCTTCCATCCATCATCCACACCATTCACCCACTCAGGTGAATTCTACTGCCCATCCATTCAGTCTCTGCCATCGTCTGAACGTTAGTATCTCTCCAGATTCACACGTTGAATCCTAAACCCCAATGTTATTGTATTAGGCAGTGAGGTCTTTGAGATGGGCATAGGTATTGGGGCAGAGCCCTCATGAATGGGATTAGTGCCACTATAAAAGCAGCCCCAGAGAGCTGCCTTGTCCCTTTTACCATGTGAGGACACAACAAGCGGCATCAACAAGCAGCAGAAAGGAAGCCCTTTCCACACACTGAGCTTACTGGTGCCTCTATCCTGGACTTGTCAGTATCCAGAGCAGTGGCTGTCTATAAGATGCCCAGCTAATGCTATTTTGTCTCAGCAGCCCAAATTAAGACAGTCAGTCAACAAACATCTGGCCAGCACTTCCTATGGGGAGAATAACCAGTTAGGGACCAGAGGGAGTCAGTGGGCAATATCTGAGAACACATGCTGTGTGTCGGGCACACCCCTAGGTGCTGCAGCAATGCACACAATCAAGTCCCCGAGAACACATCTCTACTCCAGGGGGCAGGGGGCACAGAGACCTGGTAAAGTGTAGAGACCAGGTGGGCGGTATCATGTGGCAGTGACCAGGTAAGAGCTGGAGATGTTTTGTACAGATGCATAGAAACACATGTACGTATCTGAGCATGCACAAACATTTGCAAACTCTGCACTGGATATAAACTTCACACAGAAAATGCCCAGAGAAAATGCTCAATTAACTTTCAAAGTAAACACACCTGTCTCCACACTTTCAGCACCCAGAAGCCCAGGCCGCTGCCCTTACACAACAGCGAGCACCACACTGATGTCCAATACCACCAACGACTTTGCTTCTTTTTGAACTCCACATAAATGGAATTGCAGTGTGTACTTTCCTGTCTGGCTTCCTTCACTCCTGACTGCGAGTCTTCTACACCGTTGGGTATAGTGACAGTGACGGGTATTTGCTTGTTTCCACGTGGTACTACTATGAGCTCTTGCACGCGTTTCAGCAGGAACACGTGTGCAGTGCACATTTCTTTGGGTGGGATTCCCAGGAGCTGAATTCCTGAGCGATAAGGAGTGCATGTCATCAGCTTCAGCAGACACTGCTGGGCTGTTTTCCTGAGCAGTAGCACCAATGTTCCCAGGCCCTCCAGGATAGGAACATCCTAGTTATTCCACACCTGCTACCGCTGGTGTTTTCTTTCTTGTTTTAGCCATTCTGGTAGGGATACAGTGGCAACTCACCGACTACTTTATGGTCCCCAGATAAGTAGTAAGGTCCAGCATCTCTGGATGTTTATTGGCCTTCTAGTATATGTGCTGCCGAAGCGAGCATGTTTATTGGCCTTCCAATATCTTCATTTTGTGAAACACTTGTCCCTTGCCCATTTTTGTTGGGTTTTCTTTTTCTTAATTGCTTATAGCAGGAGTTAGCACTTAAAGGGTCAAACACTAAGCATTTTCAGTTTTCAGGTCAGGGAGTCTCTGTCAGAATGACTCATCCCTGTCCCTGTGGCACCAAAGCAGCTACTGAATATACATAAATGAATGGAAGTGTCTGTGCTCCAATAAAACTTTACACAAGTAAGCAGAGGGCCGAATTTGCTGATAGGACATCTTCAGACACTCTGGATATGCATCCTCTGGCAATTCTGGGTATTACAAAGATCTTCTCCCAAGCTGTGCTTCCTTTTTCACTTTCTTCCCAGTATCTTTTGGTGAAAAGAAGTTCTTCCTTTAAATGTAATCTAATGATATATTTTTCCTTCATAATTACACTAATTATATTAAGGAATCTTTTCTTAGCCTTAATCATGAAGATGGTCTCCTATGCTTTCTTCTGGAAGCTTTACTGTTTTACCTTTTCTATTTAAATCTACAGTCTATCTAACATTGATTTTTGTCTATGGTATGAGGTAGGGGTCAAGAATCACCAGACACACACAGGATATAAAACTGACCAAACACCATTTATGGTACTACATTGGCACTTCTGTTGAAATTCAGATGATTATTTATATGCAGGTCTGTTCTGGAATTGCTATTCTATTCCATTCATCCACGTGTCTGTTTTTATACCAATGCTATCTTGTTACTTCAGCTTTATAGTGGGCCCTGTATTCTGCTAACAAGGCCTTCCACCTTTGACCTTCATATCTGTCTTGCTATTTTCTGTCTCTGCATTTCTGTATAAATTTTACAATCAGCTAATCATTTACACACACACAGATACACACAGAAACAATGTCTTCCTACAATCTTGACAAAATTTGAAGACAAAATAAGAAGTATGTGCTGGTGAAGCAGGGAGGAGGTCGGCTCAGAGTCAAAGGCGACTCAGATTCTGGCTGGAGCTCCTGGGTAAACTTTCTTACCTCTCTTCACACTCAACCTGACATATCAGCTCCTCCTGGGTCACAAGCTGGCCCTCTTCGGACCAGAACTGCACACAGGCTGTCCTAGGTCCTTAGTCTGTGGGCCACAGACCCGGACGCTGGGCAGCCTCCCTAATCTTGTGAGCCAATTCCTTAAGCACTCTCTCTATACCTCTGTGGCTGTGTACACAGACCTATCCACACACCCTGTCCAATCTCTCTGGAATCTTAATACAGGTGTTGGTGGCATTTACTAGGAATGGGAAAGACTAGAGGAGATAGTTTGGGACAGGACTCAGGATGGAAAAGAAGAGCCCTATTTTAGACATAATTTGTGTGAGGTCACGTGAGAACTTCAAGGGAAAATATTTATATTTTCTCCTTTTTTCCCATTAAGTTTATTGGTACATTTTAGGTATACAGTAGTTACATTCATCATTGGGATCTTGTACCTTTACGTGATGCATCTTGGTTCTTATTTTTTTCCCATTCCCCTGCCCTCCCTTCACCCCTTCCACCCTTCCCATTTACAAAGACTTTGTTTCCATGTTTTTCCTTTTCTCATATTTTTTCTTTTCCCTTCTTTCCTTTCCCCTTCCCCTCCCACTTCCACTATTCCTTTAGATATTTTCTTCCTATTTCCCAATAGCAATTATACATTTTGATTCTTATTTACACTTTTAGTTTTCCACACCAGAGAAACTATTCGATATTTACACGTGTGTCCTATTTATTTCACTTAAGAATATGGCCTCAATGTGCATCCACTTAGCTACAAATGTCTCTAGTTTCTTGTTCTTTATGGCGGAGTAGTACTCCATTTTTTAAAAAATCACATCTTCTTTATCCAGACTCCAGCTGATGGGCAACTGGGCTGTTTCCAAGTTTTAGCTATTACAAACTGTGCCGCTATAAATATGGGTGTGCATGTATCACTGTGGTATGATTCTTTCAATTCTTTTGGGAAGATACCCAGTAGAGGAACAGCTGGGTCAAATGGGACTTCCAATCCTAGTTGTCTGAGGTATCTCCATATTGATTTCCACAGTGGTTGCACCAGTCTGCACTCCTACCAATAATGAAGAAGGGTTCCTTTCTTCCCACAACCCTGCCAGCATTTGTTATTGGTTGATTTCTTGATAGCAGCCATTCTTTCTGGGGTGAGGTGGAATCTCAGCATTGTTTTCATCCTCATCTCTCAAATGATCAGTGATGTTGAACATTTTCTCATACGTTTATTTGCTGCTTTTACTTCATCTGAGAAATGTCTGTTCACTTCAGATGCCCATTTTTGAATTGGGTCTTTATATTTGGGGGGGTCTGATTTTTTTTGAGTTCTTTATATATCCTAGACAGTAGACCTTTGTCTGAGGAACAGCTGGTAAAAATTTTTTCCCACATTGTAGGTTGTCTCTTCGCTCTGTTGGTGGTTTCTCTTGCAGTGCAGAAGCTTTTTAATAAGATGAGATCCCAGTTGTTGATTCTTTGTCCTAGTTCCCATGCTACTGAGGATTTGTTCATAAAGTCCTTTCCTATGCCAGTGTCTTCAAGAGATCCACCTAATTTGTCTTCCAGCAAGTTTAGTGTTTCTGTTTTAATGTTTAGATCTTTAATCCATTTTGATTTTAGTTTAGTGCATGGTGAAAGATAGGGGTCTAGTTTTAATCTTTGGCAAGTTGAAATCCAGTTTTTCCAACACCATTTATTAAAGAGGCTATCTTTCCTCCAGTGAGGGTGGTTGGCTCCTCTGTCAAAGATGAGGTGGCTGAGTATGTCTGGAGTTGTTTCTGCATCTTCTAATCTATTCCACTGATCCTCGGATCTGTTTCTTTGCCAGTACCATGCTGTTTTTATCATAGTGGCTTTGTGGTACAGTTTCAAGTTGGGAATTGTGATACCCCCTCCCATGACTCTGTTACCTAGAACTGCTTTTGCTATTCTAGGTCTCTTCTGGTTCCAGATGAACTTTTGGATTGTTTTCTCTAGTTCTGTGAAACATGCTGTTGGGAACATATTTATATTTTTACCTCTCACACCATGTTTCATGCCTTATTCTAACCTCTTTACATCTCCAACTTTTCCATTATCTTACACATTCTACACAACTAATGCCTCTGAGACGAGGACCATTTTTACCCCACACCACAGCTAGGAAGACAGAGGCACACAGAGCTGAAGTAACTTGCCCAAGGTCACGAGGCTGGCAAGCAGCAGTGCCTCAGTGCTCTTAGCTGCCACACAAGACTGTGGCTCTAAGATGCTGAGCAAGCAGCTCAGATACAGGAGACTCAGCTGTTCTGGGCCTCAGCTTCCTCTTCTGTAGCTTGGAAGGTAGACTACCAAAACATGCCCATCCACTCCTGACATCCAAGGAGCCTCTGCTTTTGAATCAGACCAGAGCACTGTGCGCCATGATCCTGAACCATGTCCTGGAGGGCACTGCCCTGCATGACAAAGGCAGAGACTGAGAGTCAAGAGACACCCAGCTGTTATGCACTGTGCTACCACACAAGCCAGGAGGGAGTTCCTCCACCACTTTCCAGGCCCCAGGCCTCTCGGCACTCAGCACTCTGGCTTTCAAGAGGCAAGAAGGCTGGCCGCATGCTGGGTTCTCTCAGGGGACAGATGTGCCCTTTCCCTCCAGCCAACCGGTTTCTTTACAAAACTGAGGCCTTGCAGCGGCAGCAGGAAGGGCCCAACAAGCCCCATGTAGAGAACCTGGCTCAAATGGTATCAGTGGCCGGCCACCCTCCAGGATGGATGAGCCTGCCCTAGGAGGAAGGGCCTGTACAAGCGAGCCAGGGGCTGAGCAAACTCAGCAGAGTTGGGAGCAGGTCACAGAGGTCTGAAGGGACATTCTGTTTCCTAAACCCCAGGCTCCTTGGAAAAGGGTCTGCTTCCAGGAGCCCCCAGGCCAGGTGGCAAGGAAGGGATGGGTCGACATTGGCTGCAGCCTCACAGTGGCTAAAGGAAAACACTCAGGATGGCGCAGTGAGAACAGGGGGAAGAGAGGTTGGGGCAGGGGACATGGGACAGCAGCAGAGAGACCCTAAGGACTGGATGGAAGGAAAGGACAAATGAGGAAGAGACACATGGAGAGGATCAAAGAGAGACATCAAGGCCCCAGTAGAAGGGCACAGGCCTGGGACAGGGAAGGAAGTCCAGGGCAGGGGCCTGAGTGCATGGTGCCACTGAACAAGACCCCAAGGACAATGCAGGGTCAACAGCAGCTACACAGCAGCCAGCCCCCACTCTGTGCACGTGCTATGTGCTGTGTGCCAGATGCTCACTGGCACATTCCATCTCTGAAGCAACCCTGCCAGGTACGCAAGACAAGGCACCCTGTTTTTGTAGATGAAGAATCGGAGGCACAGAGAGCCAATGTGGCAAAGCTAGAGGAGGAGCTGAACAGGGATCCACTGAGGAGCCCTGCCCCATGAGGAGGGGTGCACCGTCCCCAGTTACAGGAGCCCACTGGAGAAGGAAGACATGGAGACATCCACACATGTGCACCAAATGGCCGTCATCTGCCCTGTGACCAGGTTTCCTGAGGAGGTCGACAGAATCAGACAAGGAAACTGAGGCTCAGAGACAACAGGTGACAAGGGCCAGGACAACCAGCAAGATGGTAGTAATGTTGCAAGTAGGGCCCAGAGTCTGACCCCAGCCCTCAGCTCCCACCCTGCTAGACAGAGGAAATTAGGAAGCCACTGGAAAGTCTCCATTTCATCCCTAAGACAGAACAGCAGAAAAGAGGACTTGAACAGTCTGCACTGGTCACTGAGACCATTCTCAGCCTGGAAAGGTGGGAATCTCTCTGTCTCCTGTGGTACCCACATCCCACTCAAGCCCTCCAGCCAGCCACCCTCCCCCTGCCCTGGCTTTTCCTCTCCCAGTTCACCCACCTGTGTGTCCACAGTCATCCACTCATCCCAGCAGTCCAACCTTGCACCTCGGGAACCATGAGCCAAGCCCAAGCACACCCGACACTCCCTACCCTCCAGCCTCCCTCCATCAGCCACCCACACTCCCACTGCCCATCCACCTGCCCGTGCACCAACAAGCCCTCCAGTAAGGCCCCCCACCGCTCATCTAAATGCACCTCCAGAGAGCACGGTGGGGGGGGGGGGGGGGGGGGCGCCCAGCTGAGACCCAAGCAGAGCTGCGCCGAGCAGGGCCAGGCTCCACCCCTATGAAGGAGCCTGGGTGGAGTCCTGCATGAGGAAGGAAAATGAAATGGGCTGGATGTCCAGGGAGACCAAGTGGACCAGGCCTCTGGGTGGATCAGGACCAAGAGCCAACTGTACCCACAATCATGGAGGGTGGGCAGGAGATGGGGGACCAGAAGGACCAGAGGCAACCAAGGGGCTCTAGGAGAGATGGCGGAGACACAGGGACTTCGAGAAGGACAAAGAGGAAGGCGTGAGGGTCAGATGGGGAGACCAGGAGGCCCGAGTGAGCCAGATGGGGAGGCACCGGGCCTGCTGCCTGGGCCGTAAGTTAGAAGTCCCTCTTGCCTGTAATATGCACATACAAAAGGCCTCTACATAGGGGAGGTTATTTCCCCATGGTGGCACATGCCTGGAATGCCAGTTACTTAGGATGCTGAGGCAGAAGGACTGCAAGTTCAAGGCCAGCCTAGGCAACTTAGCAAGACTCTGTTTCAAAATAAAATTTTAAAAGAGGGTCTGGGGATATAGCTCACTAGTAGAGCACTTGCCAACCATGCACAAGGCCCTGGGTTCAATTCCCAGGATTAAAAAAAAAAAAAAAATAGGGGAAGGGACTCTGTTTATATTTACAACTTCCAATGAGATCATAATTATTTGAAATGCAAAGGAGCTGGGGTTGCAGTTTAACAGCAGAGTGCTTACCTAGCATTCATGAGGCCCTGGGCTCAATCCCCAGGACTGCAAAAAAAAAAAAAGGACAGAAAAGGAAAGACAGACAAAAGTGACTATTAAACAACAGTTAAACTTTTCACACGGTGCCAGGTGCTCCTCGTGGCTTCATACAGTCCATAAGGCTGGGCTGGGACCATGTGAGAAACTGGGCTGAGAAAGCTTCTTGGCCACTGACTTGGAGAAAAGTTACTGTCTTTTAGAATTAGGAAAAAGCAGAGATGGGAGTGCCATTTGTACATACGTAAACGCCCTTCTGCTGGTTTTCCTATTCATTCTCCACCTGCCCAAACCCATCCCTCTATGCAGCCATCTCCTAAACACCTAAGCACACAATCACTCCCCTATCATCCACTCACGAATCAGTTCAGTTCAACGCCCACCACGTTCTTTCCTCCCTGCCTGCCTTTATCTAACATCCATCCGCCTCCCAAGCCTCCAGCCACCTACCTCTCCCTCCTCCCACTTGCCCAGCCCACTCCCAAACTTCCGGTCACAAACACACTGTGTCCACCTACCCGCTCCCACCTGGAGTCTACAGAGCACAAGAAGCAGCAGTGAAGATGCAATGACAATGAAGATGCCTTCTTCCCCTCTCAAAGCTCAGCAGGAAAAGAGCATCCTTCCCCTCAAACCCTCCACCCCTGGATCGCAGAATCCCAGGTGCTGGTGTCACCCCGAACCTCTAAGTTCCCATAACCATCTAGAAGTACATCGTTTAATGCAGTGCATGCAAGCCCCGTGGGGCTACCGAGCACCTACAATGCGTCCTGGACAAGCTGAGCATGCTGTGACAGGAACACAGTCCCAGGCTTTGCAGACTTAGTGTGAAAGCACGTAAGTGTAAAATATAATTACAATATAATAATATTTATGGAGATATTAGTTTACATGAAATACACCGTTTAAATTTATTTCACTTGTTTCTTTTTACCATTTTTAAATGTGGCTACTAGAAAACCTAAAATAGCATATGTGATTTTCATTATATATTGATTTAGAACAAACTCCTCAATTCACAAAAGTGGAAAGACAGTCAGGACACAAGGTGTCACCTGGAGAAAGCAGTGGGTTTGCCCCAACCCCTGCCTCCCTGCTACCTGGGCAGCTCCACCCTGCTCCCAGCATGTCACCTGGACTTGCGCTTGCAGTAGACTAGGAGGTTGTCGAAGAGGAAGAAGGCCCGCTCCTGGATGTTGCCTGCAGAGATTTTCAGCAAGGTCCCCTGCAGGAGGAGCTGGGTGCAGATGTCCGTGAGGTTGGAGCCCTGGAGAGCAAGGAGGGGTGCAGTGAAGGCACCGGCCAAGTCGGGGTGGGGCAGGGGCCACTGGGAATACGCTCTCCCTGTCCCGCTGTTCCCACCGAGAGAACTGACCACCCCCCTACACACAGCCCCCAAAATGCTACTGCACATCTACTGGCAAGAGCCATACAATGTGACCGATGGCTTCCATCTGCTGAGCTTCGAGCACAAGCCCAGGGACAGTGCAGCAATAGGACCCAAGGAGGGAGGTGCAGGCTCCAGGAAGGTGAAATGATTCTCTACCTCACACAGCTAACAGCATGCCCTAGTTGGCACCTGGGTGTGTTTAGGTTTGGTTTTTGTTTGGCATAGTTTTCTGTTATCCATAATTCCTCCTTACTTACATCTTGATTTGTTATATGTCCCCCACAAGAATGCCACTCTGTAAGGATAAGACCATTATCGAGCACATGCCTCTGTATTCCCACACTTACAACACACCCGGGTACATGGTAGGTGCTCAATAAACGCTAGCAGCACAGCTGGTGACTACCATGGAAACACCATCAGGCACAAGATGAGAGCGCTTATCCAGCTAAGGATGTACATGTTGGTGGAAACTGTTCCCTGGACCTACCCACTGCTCCCTGCCAAGTGCCAGAGGGGCTAAAACATTACACATGTGTAGTCGGCTGACCACCACCAAGACACAGAGCAGTGACTGAGAAAGGTACCAGGCTGAAGCAAGCTAGGCCTGGCGAATGATGGCTAAGATGGAGGCTGAGAGCAAAGATGGGGAAGGTCCCGGATGGGCAGGGTTCTCAGAGCCAGGGAGCACAGAGATAAGTCTGCAGGCCTAAGGGACAAAGCTGGGGCAGATCCAAAGGCACTAGGACAGAAAAGACTGGAAAGAGACAGGGAAGGCACAGAATGCCCACTGAGGCAGCCCCAAACCCACACTTCTGCCATTTTGGAGAATGGGACTCCGGTGGGCCCTCAGCTGCCTGGCTACAGACAACATTCTGCAGCCTCCCTTGCAGCAGGCATGGTCACATGACCAGAGTGCTGCCAATGTGCCCACTGCCACGTGGCTGCATTGCAAAAGACTCCTTTCCCTCTGCTTCTTCCCTTTCCCCTTTCCACAGGCAGGAAGACAAAGATAGCTGCCACAGAAGGCACAGAAGGAACTGCAAGGATCCAGGCTCAGAGGAACACAGCACCCACCCCAGCACCACCATCCACACTGCCCACCGCTCCGCTGCCTGGGACAAGTGCAGTTGGCAGTTAGCTCACAGGAGTTCTCATACCTCTGCCTCACTACTACATGAGCAGAAGGACAAGGGCTATCGGGGGGGGTGGGGGGTGGAGCAGAGGGAGCCTCAGATACTCGGGTCATGCAAAAGCAGTTATCAGAGAAATTCACAGGACAGACCTGCAAATCACACCGAAGGGAGAAGCAGAGAGACACTATGCTGTCCCTGCCTGGAAATGAACTTGGGGAAGGAAGAGAAAAGGAGAATTATTACAGACCCCCGCATGCCAAACACTTACACCCAGAACAACAAGGAGCTTACATCCCAGCAAGACGTGCTGACACAGTTTTTTCTGACAGCCATAAGTGGAACTGGCTTGGGCAACTCAAACATCAGGCTGTTTGCTAACTGCCCACCAGGGCCTCTCGCTGCTGCTGGAGCTGGGTATAGTAAGCCACTCTGCAGAGCCCTTGGGGGTCCTGTGGATCCCCAACCTCCTGTGGTCCAGAGCTGTGCAGCCTGGAACAGCAATTGCAGCTTGTCGCCCAGCAAGGAGCACAGGGGCACGGGCACACAGGTGCATGCTGTAGGCTATCCTGACTCTCACACTGCGGCCACCAGTGAGGAGCCCCAGGGTCCTCGTGAACAGTGAGCCCCTAGGAGTCAAGGCTCCATCAGTGGCCTGTGGGCAGCACAGGGAAACAGTGCCCACCCACAACCCCTCCAGGCTGCACAGGAATTTTGGCTGCTTGTCTAAGGAGCTTCTCGGTCACCTACCCTAGACCTGACCTTGCAGCCAAGGCCATCTCAGCACCTGGGAGAGGAGTGTGTCAGGGTGGGAAGCTGCCTCTTGGCCTCGACCAGGGACCACTCAGCAGACTGTGTCTGGACCCCAAGCATGTTACAGGGGCAGGAGGGAGAACGTTCCACGCCAGCCCCATGAAGAAGCCCACAATACTCAATCTCCCTGGAGATGAACTGAGGTCAGGGTGGTGCTGAGGACCAGAGGCACAGGGCAGAAGCTGAGCACCGAGACACCACTAGTAGGGGTGGAGGCCTCCTTCCAAACACGCAGCCACAACCAAGCAGAAGTAGTCACGTTTAGAGAGCTGACCAAAGTGTAGACAATGTCAAAGGCCAAAGCGAAGGCTGGGGGTATGGCTCCGTGGTAGAGCACTTGCCTGGCAGGCATGAAGTCCTGGGTTCCATCCCCAGCCCAATAAAATAAAAATACAACCCAGTATGTATGTAGGACTTAGCACATGCCAGGCATTGGTCTAAGTATATTATACAAACTCAGTTATCCTTGCAAGGAGTTTTATTGACAGATGAGGAACTGAGGCACAGAGTGGGGACGTGACTTGCCTGCTGAGTAAGGAGCACGCTGGGACCTGAACCACTCCCTGCCCAGCTCTGTTCCACGAGGAAGCCTCTGAGAAGAGGACCTGAGATGTCTCCGTGCGATCATTAGTCTACAGCAGGGGTCTCCAAGTGGAGAGCGTGCATCTCGCTGAGCCCGTGGCCTCCCCGGAGGGTGGGAGGAAAACACGACAACTTGTATTTCAAGGTCTCTTCCACTGACTTCCCATTCCCTCCCCTGGCTTCCTTCCTTGGCCTCACAGGTGAGGGTCCGAGTCCTCCATCTCCCTTTTTTTTTTGGTACCGGGGATTGAACTCAGGACCTTGTGCTTGTGAGGCAGGCAGGGGAACCACTAAGCTAAATCCCCGGCCCTTGGTCCTCCATCTCTTAACCCAGGGATTCCAGCCAGCAAGGGGAGGAGGCGCCTGCTCCCCTCTCACTGAGAACGTGCATGGTCCTCCGACTGCTGGGAGCCTCGGGGAAGGCCCTCTGCGGCTCTGCATGCAGAGGTCCTGCTGAAGGACGGCCTACGGGCCCCGGCAAAGTGGAAGGAAGCTCTGCACCTGGAAGGACCAGGAAGGAGCCCCTGCCTCGAGGCTCACAGGCCCCAGATGCACACCAAGATGTGCGCTGCCCCGAGCACTCTGCAGGCATCAGCTCCCCAAGGAGCGGAGTTCTGCCACTCTCCAGACTTCTCAGAGGAAAAAGCTGAGGCAAAGGAATGTGTCTTCGCAAGCAGCCTGGCTTGTTCACTCACTTCCAGGTCTTGCGACACGCTGCCATTTCCTGTGCTCAGTAAAACGGATTTATGGCTTAACGTATCTGGTTTTAATTAAACTAGTCTCACGGTAAAAAAGGGGCAGTGGCTTATGACAGATTAGGCAAAACCACAACCACATGGATAGGAGATCAATGACAAAAGCAAACTGCAAGGAGGGAGCTGAGAGAAGACCCTGCTCCTCCCTGTAGTCCAGATCCAGAGAGAGAGAGAGAGAGAGAGAGGTGACAGCCACCTAATCAGAGCAGCGAGAGGCAAATGAAAGAAGGGAAAATGCGACACCCTAAGTCAGATGTCCCCAGGCATGGCTACATGAGCCACTGCAAGTAGTTTCACCATTCCACATTATTCTCCCTGGATAAGAGACGCTACTTTAACAACTCACCTTGATTTAAAATCAAACTGACTTTAAAACCATTCTACTTCGTGGAAAACCGTTTCACATTTTCCAAAGAACACTCAGGTTCCATTCCTTGTTTCGCCCTCAGAATGAGCCCAGGAGAGAACATCTGAGACCTCGGCACACAGACGCCACACACGGCGGGATCCAGGCCCAGAGAACAGCCATGCTCACCTGAGGCACAGCCCTCTGTGCCTCCAAATCAAGTCCTTGTGCCTCAGTTTCCTGTCTGCAGAGCAAGGACAATCACAGCACCTCCCTTGCATGTCAGCAGCAGGTAACTGGAGCTCAATAACTGGAGCAACTCTCGCTATTTCCCAAGCTCCACTCGAGAACAATGATTAAAATAAGGGCCACTGAGTTCCAAATTATAGATTTTCAGGGGCAGAAAGTATTCTATGGATCCTTAGTTCCTATTTTCCTAGGCCCTTACCAGACAGAGGCCTCTGGAAGCCACTCCTGCTCTGGCTGCCAAGGAACTTGCTCAATACTCTTCCCCAGGGGCACCATGTGAGAAATCCGTCTGCCAGCTGAGTACCAAGAAATTCAGTCTTCCAGAAGGACTATTTGTTTTTCCCTCTTTTGAGAATGAGTGTTAGGTCATTTATCTATCTGAGCTGCTCTTTCACCTTGGCTGCCAGGAAGCTCAAAACCCAACCAGACAGATCCTTAAACGAATTAACTCAGTTTGTTCTTGAAAGTGGTCATGTATTCTACTTCTGGCCAATGGGATGAAAGAAGAAGTTGCCCGGGGGCTTCCGGAAAAAACTCTCCTCCAATAGGGAGGAGTACTCCCTCTTGCTGCTCCAGCTGTGCTCCTATCTCCTCCTGTAATACCTTTATGGAATCACAAGGGAAAGGTTAAGATCAGGAGACACCAAATCACAGGTGTGACATCAGAAGGCTGAGATGAAAGTCCTCAGAGAATGCACCGTAACCAGCAAATCTGAGTATTGGGCAACTTTTCAGTTGCACTAAACAAACCAAGCCATCATTTTAAACAGAAAGGAATGACAGGGTCAATCATGAAAGGGGCTATAGGAACCAGAGTCCAGACCAAGGCTCCCAGAAAACTAATGACTCTGCAGATCCGTCCCCACAGGGGAGCCACTGTCCTGCCCTGATGTAAGAGCGAAGCAGGACATGGCCCACTCGAGCTCACACTCCTCGAAACACTGTCCAGGTGCCACCTAGTCATTCAGCAGCTACTCCCTCAGCTGCCAGCCGCAAAGGCAAAGTCATCTTTGCCGTGGGGTGCACATCACGCAGTGCCCACAGCCTCCCTGTGCTTCCCTACACACCCAGGAAGAAAGAGCCTGGGCCCTCTGCTAATGCTGCTGCCACAGAAGCCAGACACAACCATGGCTGTGCTTTCTCCACCAACAGCAGAAGGGTAGCCTCTGTCCCACCTCCCACGCCTCAAGTAGCCAGCTCTGATCTTGGCCAAACTTCAATTCATATTCCAAACCCAAGCTGCAAAGGAGTCTGGGAAACACAGTTCTTCGTCGTCCAGGCTTAGCCAGGGCAGAAGCCCAGCAGAAGGAGGACACAGCACATGGCAAGTGCCAACACAAAACTCCCCTCTTCCCTGGGCATAGGCCCCTCCCCTCTGAAACCAAACCCTCAGCCTCACAGCAACAGGCCAGCACATCTGAGACCCCGAGCACCAGGAAAAGAACACTAAATCCCTAACCCAGCAAGGGCCACCACTACCAGAAAACCCAGAGGGCTCAGGCAGATGAATCAGACAGCAATCTCCATCCGAGAGCTTTTTATCTTGGGTCTTAACCTCCAGTTCCAGCTGTGTTTACTCTGAGATTGATTTATTTACTCATATTTTTCCATTTCCTTCTGTAGACTCATAGGAAACTTTTAATAATCTAAGGAAGGGTGGGAGCTTAAACAAGTAAATTAGAAACAATGGGAAGAACTAAAGAATCCTATTCCCTAATAATCACGATGACAGTAAGACCAACATCTGCCATTTATTGAGTACCTACTACAAGCCCGGTATAGACAAGATCTGAAACATGTGCCTAACATCACCTACCAAGGAAGTATCGATCCAGAAGTCTGTCCTGGAGTAGACATGTGAATGCCACCCTTGACCTTGGCCTCAGAAGCTCTACAAACTTTATATGCCAGGAAAGCAGAGCAAGGCATTGGGAGAATGAGTGGGGAATATCAGGGAGCAGTAGGGACTAAGCAAAAACGGAGGCTCCAGTGGCTGTTGCCCTGTAACACAGGGGCCCCATGTTACCAATTTTTCAAGAGAAACAAACCTGGACTTTAATGTAGATTCAATTGGAAAATAATTAACCAACTTTTTTCAAACACTCTGTAGGTCAAACAAAATACACTGCAGACCAACCCTAGCACCAGGCTGTAGTCTGTCCCCACTGCCCGGCACTCGACTCTCTGCAGCCCTGGGTCCCCCACCTGCCCTGCTGTGCGCACCTCCCAGCCCTCGATGTGGGACTGCAGCTGCTCCAGGGCTTCTAGCTTCTCCATCTGCCGCTTGGTCTCGTTGATGTTGGAGCACACGGTCTTCATGGCCTGCAGCGCGCTCTGGACCGCAGGGTGGTCTGGGTGTTTGCCTGGCGTCCTCTTGGCCAGCTCCTGGGGCAGAGGTGGGGCAGAAGGACAGACATCAGTCCAGAGGGCTCCCAGCTCAGAGTTGACTCCTACCAACAAGTGGTGTACCCTGGGGCTGGGAAACCCCACTCAATCATGCATGCATCATTCTTTCTATAAATGTCATTGATCACCTCCTGGCAGGCAGTGATCCAGGGTTTGGAGATAAAGTTGTCAACAAAACAGACAACAATTCCTCACCTGGTGGATCCGACATTCTAGTAAAGGTCATGGTCCAAAATAAAGACAAATCAAGCATAAAATATAATTGCAAGCCATAATAAATACTGAGAAGACAGGTCAGAAGAACAGACCAGGAAGTGTTATTTCAAACAGGGAGGCCAAAGAAGTCCCCTGGAGTGACATCTGAGCAGAGACCCTGGCAGAAGCAAGAGAGGGAGCTCAGCCACAATCTAAGGGAAGAGTGTCCCTGACAGTGGGAACGAGTCCAAAGGGCCTGGGGTAGGAGTACATGCGGAACCTAAGAACAGCAAGGAAGGGGCTGGGGATTTAGCTCAGTGGTTTCGCTGCCTGCTGCACAAGCACAAGGACCAAAGTTCAATCCCCGGTACCAAAAAAAAGAACAGCAACGAGGCAGTGCACATGGAGTGTAGCAGAGAGAGAGAGACAGAGGTGGGCAGGTCACCAGGTAGCCACAGATACAGCCCCTGCCCTCACTTCCTTAGCAGGATGAGTATTCTTTAACTGCCTCTTGGGCTGGGGGGCTGTATTTGTCCTGCATGCATGAGGTCCTGGGTTCGATCCCCAGTGGGGACTGGGTGGGCACCCTCTGCTCCTGGAGCATCAGAAACCTCTCTGTCCCTGCAGACACAGCACTCTTGGGTGCTGGGCAGGGCCTGAGCCCAGTTTCACACCCCACAAACCATGAGGATGAGGATGGGGGCAAGGATCACAGTGGCAGTCCGTGCCCCATCACTAAGCCTTCATCCCAGCCCCTGAGGTAAGCTGCATTACCCCAATTAACAAATGGGGAAACTGAGGCATGGTGAGGCAGTCCATGGCCTCAAAGAAGCAAGAAGAGGGATTAGGACACGAACTCATAGTGAGGGTAAATCGGACGCCCCAGGAAAGGTCCCCAGTACATGCACAATAAGCACTCAGTGTAGCTTCCGCCGTTTCAGGGTGTTACTGCGAGCAGACGCTACCCACAAGGTGGGGTTCTACGGCTCCAGAGGAGGCACACCAGGCAGATGCGGCCTCACGCGGTGAAAACACCACAGGGATCAGAGACTGGAGAGAGCGTGACCCAGGAAGGCTCATGGGGAGCAGAGGCGGCAGACGCCCGGCCACAGCTATGGGCAATGCGGCTCCCTCTGTCTTCACCCAGCAGACGCGTGAGCAGCTGTGTGCGCCTGCGCCCCGGTGGCCGGCAGAGAACGAGACGCTCCTGGGAGACCCTGGTCAAGGGGAGCCGTCAACAAGGAGTCAACAGTAGCATCCGAAATAGCAGCCGATCCCGTCCTCATTCTGACACGGGCACCGTTACACCCTCTGCTGACCCAGGAAGAACAGAGTACAGAGAGTTCAAGTCACCTGCCCGGGTCACCCAGCAGATGTGGGCCCAGACAGTCGGCTCCAGACTTTCGTGCTCTGAATCCCCAGTATGGGTTACAGTCTTCCCAACTGGTACATGGGACACTTTCCACGCAAATGCCTACACCACAGTAATTCTTGATTGGTGCTAGATGAAACACAAGCAGGTGGAAGGACAGAAGGTGAGGGGGTGCCAGGTCTCCCTGAGGACACAGGCTTGTGGTGGAGCCTGAATGAAGTGAGGGTATGGCCCACAAAGCACCAGCGAGACAGCACTCATGGATCAAGAGCACATGCAAAGGCCCTGGGGCAGTGAGAGACAGCAAGGAGGGCAGCAAGGCTTCAGCAAAAACAGTGAGAAACAGGGACAGGTCAGGAGGCTGGGAAGCAGCTGAGGATGACACCCCAAGAACGTGGGGAGTGCTGGGGTTAGGAGGCAAAGCCTGACACCATGTGATTTTCCCTATGAAGGACTCCCCCTCAGGCCTCTGGGAGGAGGCCACACAGAGGGGCGCAGAGTGAACAGGACAGCGAGAGGGCCACTCAGTGGTGACTGCAGGTGTCCAGGCAAGAGGCGATAGTGGCCCAGACCAGGAGGCTCGGAGCCTCACCACAAGCTCCTGGGCTCGCTGTTCCCGAGTGGCCCCTGGGCACCAGGCCCCGTGCTGGCCCCTGCTGGGGACAGAGATGACACTGCTATGGCTGGAGCCTCTGGGGCCGACCACCTGCTCTCAGGCATGGCCCGGATAAGCCACAGTCCTGGTCCCCACCCTGGGTCGGGCCAGCCGAGGCCCAGGCGGCCAGTGTGGCTGGCCGGTGGGAGACAGCACCACCCAACCTACTCGTCTCAGAGCCGGGAAGCCGGAAGCTGTGACTCTGCTCTAACAGTTTCCCGTAAGGTCACCACACCCGACAATTGGTAAAAATGAGAAAAAGGTTAGTTCCCTTTTCTGCCTGGCTCCCCCCACCTCTATTCCTGCCTTGGACCAGCACGAAGGTGGGGTGTAGCAACCAAGTGAGACCCGGCCAGGCTCAGAGCTGGGCCCAAACACCAGGCAAGCGCTACCTTTGGTGTCTCGGTCCACAGGGGAGAGTTGGCTCTACTCCACCCAGCTCCAATACCTGGGAGCCTGTTCATGCCCCTGGGCCTTTGCACTTGCTCTTTCCTCTACTGTATGTTCCTTTCTCAAGCTCTTGTGAGGCAGTATAGTACTGCATAAGGTCAGGTGTAGATTCAGGTTGTCCAAAAGGAAATCCTTATGTTTATAATCAATGTTCAACAAGGACACCAAGGCAATTTAACAAGGAAAGAACAGTCTAACACACGGTAGTGGGACAACCAGACATCTGTGTGCAAGAGATGCCCTCACAATGCACATAAAAATTAACTCAAAATGCATGAGAACACTAAATGGAAGAGCTGAACCTATAAATGTGTTAGAAGAAAACACAGGAATAAATCTTAATGACCTTAGGCAAAGCATTCTTAGATATGACACCAAATGTACAAGCAACTAAAAAATACAGATAAACTAGAATTCTTCTGAATTAAAAAACTTCTGTCCTTCCAAGACAATATCAAGAAAAGTAGAATGTAAGACAATGGTGTAAATTATTTTTTGTGATGGGAACTTGTGCCCAGAATACATAAAGAACTCTTACAATTGAACAACAAAAAGACAAATAATCCAACTTAAAAATAGGTAAATGGTTGAACAGACATTTCTTCAAAGAAACTCCCCAAACTGTCAATAAGCAAATGAAAAGATATTCAACATCATTTACCATTGGAGAAATCCAAAACAAAAGCAAAAAGAAATATAATTTCACACCTACAAGAGTGGCTATCATCAAAAGATGAACAATAACAAGTGTTGGTGAAGATATAGAGAAACTGGAACTCTCATACATTGCTGGTAGGACTACAAAATGGTCCAACGGCTTTGGAAAATAGTTTGGTGATTTCCTTGTGTCACACTGATCCAGCCATACCTGAAGTCGTCTACCCATGTACTTTTCAGTTATGTAGACCTATATATTTTTACATATATGTTGGTATAGTATCTATACTGCTTGAGCTAGTTTTTCCATCTATTTTATCTGAAAGAGTCCTTAATGCTTCACAATCTCAGATTTGAAACGCCCAGTTGGTCTAGGATAAGCATAAAATATGAGTTTTTTCAAAGCTGATGGGAGCTTAAGCTCTACGAACAAAGGTCAAACATGTAAAAGCAGGGAGGTGAAGCAGCTTGGTTCAGAACTGAACACAGTGAATAAGTGAGAACAGACTTCACTTCTAATGAAAGAGACTGTGGTGCTGAAAATCCTGGAACCCACACCAGTGGAACAGCTACAAGAACTTATAGAGGCTAGTCCAAAGCAGGGTGCTTCGGAAGGAATCCAAGCACTGCTTGCTAAGCCTCCTGGGAGCCCACACGATGAAGAAGCCCCTGGGTCCACAGCCTGAAGAGGGTCCCAGGTGCTGGAGTTCACCCATCCCAGACTCGCGAGAAGCAGTGAGCTCCCCACCCCCATGGCACCAACAGCAGACTCGGGCCCACTAGGTCTGATCTCAGCTCAAACAGCACATCAGAGCCCAAGACTGTAAAGCCTTAGGTCAGGAGGTGAGTTCTGGGGAGAGGGACCTGCAGGCTGAGCAGCCAGGTGACCTTGCACAAGTGACCTCACCTCTCTGAGGTCTTGTTTGCTCCCCTGTGAAATGGACTGATGTCCTTCCTGAGGGCCCACCAAGTGCAATGATGAATGTAGAGGGTAAGAACACACGATTGATCAGCTTCGCCATCACCTCCGCAGTAACAATAGCTCACTTTATTCTCATTTCTACCTGGTGAGAATAATACCAAGCAAAGTCATCGTGGTAGTCATGACAGCCAGCTTTTACTGAGCGCTTGCTATGCACAGACCCCTGCTCCAACTTGAAACTGATTCTCAAATCATCCCAATGAGGGACTAGTATTTCCCCACTCTATTTATGAGGAAACTGGGGCACAGGGCAACAAAGCCTCTTGCCAAAGGCCACAGAGGCAGAGGGGGACTACTGGGAGTGAGCACATCTGTAGCTCTCTGAAGAAATGATGACACCTGGAAATAAACACCCCACAACCTGGCTCTTAAACACACATGTCTGAACAGAGACCCACCCTGGGGAGCCCTTAGAGAAACTGAGGGCAGGCCATATAATCTCAACTCCTCTGGAGGCTGAGGCAAGAGGATCATAGGTTCAAGGACAGCCTGGACAACTTAACGAGACTGTCTTAAAATAAAAAGGCCTGAGGAGGTAGCTCAGTGGTAGAGTGCCTGTGTAACATGTGTGAGGAGGCCCTAGGCTAGTGGCAATGAATCCATAGCATGCAGGCTGCCACGGGCTGTTTGTTATCACTGAAAGCTCTAAAAGGTTTGCCATCGCCGCC